CCGGCGAACCCCACGGACTTTTAGACGGCCTTGCATGACCCGATTCAAGTAGCTCCTTGATTTGCACCTTGAGCTCCTCTAGCTCGCTAGGGGACATACGATAAGGCACCTTGGCTATCGGTTTTGCCCCGTCCACCAACTCGATGGCATGATCAACCTCCCTCCTTGGTGGAAGACCTTTGGGCAAATCGTCGGGCATCACGTCCTTGAACTCAACAAGGACTTGCTCTATGGGAGGCGGGATTCGTTCCTCCTTTGCCGGCTCCTCTGTGCATGGTTCCTCCTCAAACACCATGGCGGCAAAGGTGTGTTCACCCCGTTTTAGCCCCTTGTTCAGCTGGGAAGGGCTAATCTCATTTTCCCGTCTAAACTTTACCACACAAGGCTTCTCGCCTTGGAGGATCACCATCGTGTCGTTGCTAGGCACGATGATCGGCTTTACCTGGTCTAAAAACTCCATGCCAAACACAAGACCATAATCATCCATAGGTGCAATGGAGAAATTAGCCGTACCGACCGATTGCCGATTTTAAGAGGCACATCCACGGCTTCGCCTACAAGACCCGTCCATTCGCCGTTCACGCCCTTGAAACGGCCTTTGCTAGGTGTCCACTTGACGCCAAGCGAACGGGCTACCTCTTCCGTGAGATAACTCGTGTCGGCCCCCGTGTCTAGCATGCCCCATCTAGACCCGTTTGCGAACGATGCCTCCATGTAAAGACGGCCTTGACGTGTCTCGGCCTTGGCATGCACGGCATCTAGCCGTTTCATGCAAGCGACCCGTTTCTCCTCTTCTTGGCACAAACCTTGTGCCAATGCTGCCAACTTCGAACGAGACGGGCAATCACGTGCCATGTGCGCTCCCCCGCACAAGAAGCACCCTTGAAACTTCTTTGGCTTGTCCCCCTTGGTCTCCTTGCTTGAAGACGGCTTTGTATAGTCGGCTGCCGGCTTCGCGGGGGTGGAAGACTTCCCTTTGTCTCCCCCACCTTTGCCTTGGAACGGCTTCTTGCCCTTGTCCTTGGAGCTATCCTTCTTTTGGAACTCAACAAGCGACTCGGCCACCTTTAACGCCCGATCGATGTCCTGGACTTCTCTCCGTTGTAGCTCAAGTTTGGCCCAACGGTTGAGACCGTCCATGAAAGTAAAGAACGCCTCCTTGGGCGAGAGATCCGGAATTTCAAACATCAAGTCCGAAAATTCCTTAACGTATTCCCGGATTTGTCCTTCCCTATGGTGCAGACGACGAAGCTTGGCCCGGGCTTCGTCTTCCGCATCTACGGGTAGGAAATACTTTCTAAACTCTTCCTTAAAACCATCCCACGTGGTGAAGACCGGGTCTCCATCCCCCACGGGTTTCATCATACGTTTCCACCATGATAAGGCACTATCTTTAAGATAAAGAGAGGCCTGGAAGAGTCTTACCGAGTCGTCCATGATATTCATAGCCCCAAAGTACCGTTCCATACTGTAGAGAAAGTTCTCTACGTCCCTCAAGCGACGGCTGCCCTTGTATTCGTCCGGCTTGGGCGCTTCAAGCCTTGGAACCGTCCCCACGGCTCCGGTTGTCCCTTGCACGGCCACGGTGTCAAGCCGTGCCTTAAGACGCGCCGATTCTGCCCGAGAAGTCTCCAGCTCCCCCATAAGCCGGTTGACGTCGTCTTGGAGGGCGGCAACACGAGCAAGGCTTTCCTCTTTCGACTTGTTGCAACGTTCCACCATTTCGTTGAGCGTCCCTAGCATGTCGTCCTTCATTTGCTGCATGACCTCTTGCAATTCCCCTGCGAATCGCTCCATGCGAGCTTCGACGACCCCCGCTACCACCTCAGGGTGCTCGTCCCAACGGTCTTGGTGGTCGGCCACAGCAAGCTCTAGCTTGGCAAGCCGTTTCTCCAATTCCACCATCGGCTCCCTAACGACCGACTTCTCCTTACGGGTTCCTTTGCGGGTGGTCCTCCCCACCTCACGGGAAACGTGATCCCCCTCAAGCTCCGACCCTTGAACGACCTCCGAAGGGTTGGACATAGCTTATGCACGAAAGAAAACCAACAAATGGAAGCGTAGACGATGTAGCACACCAAGTATCGAGCCGAGGCTCTGATACCAACTGTCACGGGCTTACTTTTTCAAAGTAACGGCCGTGCGGCACTAGCACAAAACAACTAACGATCAAGTGCTAGCTCAGCCTTCAGACCCCCAAAGCGTGCAAAGCTAGACAAGACTTTAAAGAACGGAGGCAAAGAAAAACTTAAGAAAGGTTGAAAGTGAAAGAATGATGAAGGCACAAGAGAGCTTAGGGAATGCTTGAGAACTCTACTCAAAGCTTGGATGGATTACAAATGAAGGGGGGCATGGGGTATTTATAGGCAAACCCCCAAGTCCTAAAGAATTCTAGAGAATTCTATGTAAATAATAAAATAATGGGATTCTAGAGAATTCCTACAATAAAATATTCTAAGTTCAAAATATCTACAAGTCTCTAGAATCTTCCACACGGTTCTAGCAAACTCGGGTAGCTTCCACACGGTTCCACTCGTTTCTAGAGAGTTCCGGACTTCTCTAGAAAATTCCAGAGTCTTCAAGATTTGACTGGAGAATTCCACAAGGTTCTAGACCGTTCCGTCCCATGTCCGTCTACGAAAATAGCCCGTTTCGCATCAAACCACCCGAATTCGTGGTGAAGAAAAACTGTCCGTGACATCTTGACATTGACAATCGTCCTCAGCGCGCCATTCAATATTCTTCTGCCCATTGTGTTTTTTTTACCCCTTCAGAAGCTCAATCGGAATAGCCTCCAGTTGACCACTTCGCTGGAAAAATGCCGCCGTCTCTCCCCGCTCTTCTCTCTTCCGGCCTCACTTAAACAAGATGAAAGTCTTTAAATGCTAAAACATGTTGATGGAGAGGAAGAAATGGATTCCAAAATTAACCCGACTTTTGACCCATTTTGAAGCCCTAATTTTTTCTATTTTCCTAACCTGAAATTTTTCCCTTCTTTGAAGTACTACTTTTTAGAGTTTAGACCAAAACAATTTCTATTGTTTTTGGGATGAAATTAAAATATGATTAAACATCTATAAATTATGGGACACTGTTCCCTACTTTGTACCTCTTTCTGTGTTAGGCGGTTTCCCCAGCAAATTAATGAAATTCATCCATTTTCAAAAAAAAAGAAATCTATAAATTTATTCTATGAGTGTTTTGGGATATGTGACGTGATTTTAGTTAATCGAATAAAATTAAATTTAACATCTTTATCTCATATATGATGGAGTATTTTATTTATTTTCATTTAACATACATTGACTTACTTTTCTAAAAATTTATAGAGGTAAAATTTCTACGATAATAAGAGGTGAAATTTCTTGTTTAACATTTAGAATGTATTTTACGATTTTTTCACTAAATTTATATGTTGATTTATTGTTTCGGATAAATAGTCATGAAAATTTACGCTCATATTTCCGAGAAGTGGTTGCCAATATCCCTTCTGAGAAGTGGAAGAAAAATCAACTATCATCTCGTTCTTAAAAAATAAAAAATAAAACATTAAATTAAAAGTATTTTTCTTTTATTAGTTTATAATAGTAACATTGTGAATTTATTCAACATTTCATTTGACATAATTAAACACTTTCATTAGAGATTTAGATGATTTTATCTCAAGTCTCTAGTCTTATTAAATTAGACTTCCCATTTCTTGTATTTATATTTATTTTTAATTTTCAATCTTAGTTAAGAAAAAACGTTATACTTTTAATTGTAATAAAATTTATATGATAAAACATAATAGAATTGAGTCAAAACTATTCATCGCGCGCTACTAGCATCATTACTCTGAGCATGAGAATGGTAACATCCATTTGTAACAAACGTTGAGCATTGCGCGGGATGGAGTGACTTGCATCAGTACTTAATTAGATCTAAACCTTCCAGCACTTGTAGTAAGGTTATTCACCATTCTCATATGATGGAATATAGATTAACCTTTAAAATGTACGAACTCCATCATCAGTGATAGATAAGCATCATTTTGAATTGCTTCGTGCTATGTTATTTTAGTGATAATTGTAATAACCGTTATTTAAGGATTTGAGCTTCATTGAATAAGAAATACGTAATGAAAATGGCAGAATAAAAGAGATGATGATAGAAAAAGGGTCACGCATACAACATTTGTGACTTAAATCATATTGATACGTGAAATTCATGTGCAATGTGAGTAAATTTTATTATGGGTATTTGTGTAATTCACGTGCGATGTACGTCCAAATTTTATTGCAATTTTGATATGCAAATAATTTCAAAAATTTATTGTATTATTTTACATGTTTCATTTCTTTCTGACAATTAAAGGTTGGTTGTTTCAAGTTCTTTATTTGCATTTATTGAGAATCTTACATCGGTACTAGAAAATAATTAATATCCCTGTTAAGTTCCATTACCTATTCCATTCGTCAAGATTTCCCAAGCTGCAACAACCCAATTGTGATTATCATCATATGTTCCATCTCCTCGTATGATATAATCTATCCTAGACGGGGTTTGTTGTGGCTCATTTTGGTGATCAGGGTTAGCCACTTGTCTTGACGAATTGGTTTCAGAATGCCACGTAACTGTTGAAGATTCAAAGAACTTCAAATCTTTTTCGGCAAGCTGTTGGGTAGTATTTAGATGCTGAAATTTCTGGTTACACACTATATTATTCCTTGCCAACCAAATATGCCACATGATGAAGAGCGAAAGCCTTAAGAGTTCTACACTTGGCGCCTTTAGGATCTAATGTTCTAGCCAGTGAGAGAAGCTCATGCCATTTTCCTTTCCTTGTTCAAAGTCAAAACCAAGACGAGAACACCTCCATATCATTTGGGATTGCTGACAATCTAGGAACAGATGTTGAATGTCTTCCTCATCTATTGTCAAATTGGCGAGAAAAGCACACAAATTACAAACGTCCACTTGATCTTTCTTAAAAAAAAAAAAAAAAAAACATATAACGTGGACTATGGAATGCAGTACATTATGTCAGGAAATGGGACTTGATTGACCTAGTTCGATAGTTTAGGTACCAGTTCCTAGTTTTCTAAAGTTTGAGGCGATATTATCAGATCATTTGAGTATTGAAATGAATTTGTGAAAATCCCTTCTCTCTCCGACTTTCCCAATTCCCCTCCTTCCTGAACCCTAATTTTCTTCTTCCCTTTTCTGAAACTCCGATCGATTTTCCGTTTTTGTCGGCTGGATCTCCGATACCTGACACATTATCTAAGTATATTCACTCCTTAGTTACCTTTATTTTCATCAATCATCATCTTGAAGCCCATCAGTTTTCCTTTTGTTCATCCTTGTTTCATCCATTATGGCCAAATTCTCTTACATCCTCTCTAAAATCCTTGGCTGCATTTCAGGAACCACAACAACAACAAACATTTCCTCCGACCTAATTCCTCTCCTTAGATCAACCATAGATGATCTCGAGTTCGTGGTGGACCGAGCGGGAGGCGAGCTCTCTGTCAGCAACGAAACCATCATAGTTTTCTTCAGGAATCTCAAAGTGTTTCTTCTCTTAACCAGAAAGTTGGGCAAAGATCCGAGTCTCGAGTCCTTCTCGTCGATGATTGAAGCTAAGTTTCGCAGATTTGCAGAGTATGTGCACACTTTTCGCCTTTTCTTGTCCGGTCAGGAGGCAACCAGCGACCAATATAAGGCCGCGAATATGAGTGACGATGAGACGGAAGAGTTCTGGGGCCACTTTTTGTCGTCGGTGGGACGAATGGATCGAATTTACATGACCCTTGTGGATTCTTGTTCTTCCTCCACACATTCTTCAAACTCTCTTTCCGCAGATGAAGTTGATGATATTTTTGGTTGTGTGCTGAAGAATCTTCAGCTGCTCCAAACTTTTAAATGGGAACAAAACGGCGAAATTCTACGAGAACCCATGAGGGAATTGGGGGAGCAGATGAAGTTCTTGAGAAATCTCAACCTGTTCGCTTCACATTCAAATGCCAGGCAAGAAGATGTATATGCTCATCATCTTGAAGCTATGTTAATTACTGCTTCATTTATTTTGTTCAAGTCTGATCCCTTGTATTGTGATGAAAGTATTTATGAAGAAAATCTTCCTCAGGTTTCAGAATTGATTCATACCATCCTAATGTTCACAAAACCAATTGAACCTCGAGTCTTTAAGATTTACACTGATCTCCTGAGTAGCTCAAAGTCAGGGAGAAGATTACTTGATTCTGCGGATGACAGAATAAACATGAACAGAGAAGTCACTCGGGCAAAAGATTTCCTCGAATCAGTCATGTCCAATCTTTGGGAGTTGCTACAAAAAGGTGATGTTCATCATGCAGTTTCTATGAAGGATCAACTATTAGAGCTCCATGACGGGCTTGGATCTTTGATCTTCATTCTCTCTCATCAATATCCGAACAAGTTTGAGCTGAAGACTAATGAAGACCTCATTTTCGACGCGGCGTATGATGCCGGGATCTTATTTTGCTCATTGTACCAGTCACACATGAAATTGGAGGATGAGCTTCGGTACTTGTTAAGAGCAATCAGACTTATCCAGGAAAAGCACGGCGAGAATGACGCGCCAGAATCCAAGATCAAGGTTCCCAGCACTGCTCCACTGTCCTTTGTTGATTTTCTATTAGAAAAACTCACAGAGCAGACCAGCCCTGAAGCTAAAACTATTCAAGTAGGGCTTGTCTCCTTAAAGTCAATGTTAGAAGAAATCACAGAGTCGCACCCTGAACAGGAGGAACTCCAAACTTTCTGGACTCGCAGTTTGGAGCTTGCGTACAAGATAGAGCGCCTCATGGACTATCTAGTGGTTGGTGATCTTTCAGATTCTTTTTTGGCATCCTTTGGTTACATCATGGAAGACATGAAGAATTTGAAGTTAGAATTTGAACTCGAGAAGCCGAAAATCGAGAAGACGGGAGTAGCCATGACTCGATCTTGCCGTGTGGTATCTCGAAAATCTTTCTCATACAGAAATGAGGTGTTGGGCTACCTTGAGGAGGCAGAATCAATTAAGAATCGCCTCACAAGAGGATCAAAGCAGCTTCAAGTTGTTCCCATTGTTGGTATGCCGGGACAAGGTAAGACAGCTTTGGCTTTGAAAGTATACAATGATCCTTCGATTTTGTACCATTTTTCTGTTTGTGCTTGGGCTACTGTGTCACAAACAGGGGACGTAAAAAGAGTCCTCCTTGACCTTCTAACTCAAATTGATCCCAACCAATGTTCCGTAATTACTTGTGATCGCGATTTAGTAGAGAAAGTGTGGCACAGTTTAAAGGGAAAGAAATATCTCATCTTTTTGGATGACATATGGCAAACTGAAGCATGGAGGAGCTTTAAAGAAGCATTCCCTGAGGATCATAGGGCTAGTAGGATTATGTTGACAAGTCGTCGCCGTGATGTTGCTCCCGGCGAAGAGCCTCACGAACTTAGATCATTGACTGATGAAGAGAGCATGGATTTGTTAGGGAAGAAATTGTTTGGGAGTTGTTGGCCTAATGAGTTAATTGATATTGGCACACAAATTGTCCAAATTTGCAAGGGATTACCCCTTACAATTCTTATTGTTGCTGGAATTTTAGTCAATACAGAGCCACACAGATGGGAGGCAATTCTTGGTGGTTTAAACTCTGCCATTGTTTCGAGTGTTGAACAGTGCAAAAAAACATTGGAGCTGAGCTACAACAACTTACCGGAGCATTTAAGGCCTTGCTTTCTCTATTTTGCAAGATTTCCAGAAGATCATATGGTTTCTGTTCGAAGGTTGCTTCGGCTATGGATAGCTGAGGGATTTGTTCGGAGGTCAGAGACAAATCATATTGATAATGATGCTGAAGACTACCTAAAGGATTTGATCGATCGGAGCCTAATAATGGTTGCCCGACAAAATCCTCTGGGTCAAATGAAAACATGCCACATTCATGACTTGTTTCATGAGTTTTGCTCGCAGAAAGCGAAGGATGAACTATTTCTCTCTGTTGTAAGAGGAAACAGTAAGCTTTTGGCATCTCATCATCAGCCACAAAATCTTCGGAGGCTATGCATTAAAGTTAATCCAATGCATCTCAGAGGGTCGGTTAGTTTTCTTTCCTATGCACGTTCTGTGAATTTCAACTATGACGCCAAAGAGCCGCAAAATTTCTCATTCATGTTTCAGACATTGAAACTTCTAAGAGTTTTGGATTTGGGACGGATCAATTTAGGTCATGTTTTCCCAAGTGAAATTGGGCTTCTGGTGCAGCTTGCCTTCTTGGAAATTAGAGGCTATATGAGGGACATCCCACCCCTGATAGCCAACCTCACCAATCTTGAAACCTTTATCCTGAATCAAATAAGAAAGGGAAAAGTGATCTCATTGCCTGACTCAATTTGGAAACTGCAAAAGTTAAGGCATCTTTCCTTGCCAACTCCAGGTGGTAGTTTTCCCATGGAAAGTCTTGCCACTTTATCAAATTTTTGCGAGTTGGGTTATCTTTCTGTTTTAGCTATACCTTACCCGACCAGCATGAACATGGAAGGGTTGCTGAAAATGTTTCCAAATGTGCGTGAGCTGAAATTCACCATTTTTACTTCTTCTGAAGATATAGGAGATCATGTGAAGATTGTTGTTCCTCAATCTTTGAGCCAACTAGACTCACTTGGTATATCACTACGCGTCGGCCGACAATCTGAACCTAAAATGTTTGAGTTTAGTTTGCCCCGAAAGTTGAAGAGGTTGACACTGTCTGGGTTCTACTTATGTAGTAAGAGCCTTTCAACCTTTTCTAAACTTCCAAACCTTGAGGTGCTTAAATTGGATGCGGTACATTTCGAAGGAAATACGTGGGAAATGGAAGAAGATGAATTCTCCAAACTTAGATACTTGCAATTGAATTCATGGGAGCTTCACTCCTGGAATGCTACTGAGGAACAATTTCATTGTCTTGAAAAATTGGTATTGAGGGCTTGTACATCTTTGAAGGAGATGCCTTCTTGCCTAGAAGATATTTCAACGCTTGAAGAGATCAAGATTGTAATGTGTTCTGACGCTGCTGTAGAGTTAGTGGAAAAGATTAAGGAGGTACAAACAGAAAGTGGAAATTCAGAGCTAAAGATCATTACTTCCATGTCTAATTGATTCCTTTGTAGCTCATCTTATGGATTTGAGACAAGGGATAATGAATGGTTCGTGTGGTTTCATTACTGTTTTGTATCAATCATTCAATGGTTGTATTGTTTTATCAATCATTCAATGGTTGTATTGTTTTTTCTTTTTCCTTTCCATTTAGGATAATGAAACTACTAAAATGGCATGAACGTAGATGCATCATTATGTAGTTCTTCAAATACTCAGCGATGCATGAATGAATGAGAAAACAAGAATAAATTTGAGATACTGCATTCCAAGAAACAGGATAAGATCCACAGACATTTAGTTAGGACTAAATGTTTGTTGCATTATACTCCCTCCGTCCCATAATTATTGTCCAGTTTTACTAAAATGAAAGATTTTTTTTTAGTTAAACTTAACTATATTTTACCTTAAACAACCGGATATACCCCTACATTAGTAATTGTTTAACCACTAAGATTTTATAGATAATATTTTTTACTAAGGACAAATGTGTAACTTGATCCATAAAAAGTCAAATTGGACAATAATTTTGGGATAAAATTTTTTGAGCAAAGTGGACAATAATTATGGGACGGAGGGAGTACTATTTAGAAACAAACATAACCTTCTGCTACCTTCTGATGATAACCGATACCATTGGCAAGAACATTTGGTAAGATCAGACCGCTTCATCTGATTCAACGCTTAAAATTGATCCCAAAGTTTCAGAATCACTTATCATATAAGGAAGGGGTTTGTTCTCCTCAGCTCTCTTTTTCATCAGCAGCTGGAAATGAAAGATGTATGAGTACCGGTTCATAAAGGAACTTTACTGACTCAATAAATCTTTAGAAGGCATGAACAAACAGGCTGTATTCCATTTGCTGGGTAGTTGTCCTGAATTTTGACAAATTATGGACTAAAGCAGTAATGTATCATGAGCCAATGATCTGTGATGATGAAAGCAGATACTGAAGATAAACAGCAGTCAGTGGGTGGCTAGTATGACAAAAAGTTGTAAATGAATTTCATAAGACTAAACGTGTACTAGAAAATCAATGTTTAATGGTGTATGATTGAGATTATACCCTGCTATACGTGCTAACAAGCGATCATGAAATCTGGCGGACCTCATTCTGCAGCTTCATCGAAACTGAAGACTTCTCCTTGATGTCTTTAAAGCTCGGAGTTCATGTTCAATGTCCATCACCTACACAGATGCTCCACATTCTTGCAGTTTATCAATCGACGAAGGAAAAGAAACCATCAAACATAAGAGAGCCCAGCACAGAATATTTTGGTATAATTTTTCCATTGTTAATTTCCAGCAGAAAATGCAACAATAGAAGTTTCAGCAGAATGAATCAAGCAATGGAAGTGGAATACAGCAAAAGCAAGAAGGGAAAGGTATAAAAAAAGAAGCAGGTCACCAAAGCTACAAACTACAGTTTTGTGAGCAGGGTAGCTCAATTATCATGAAACATATATGCTTAAACAACGTTCATTAAGGTAGCCAGACAACACTAATAATGAAGGTTCAGTGGTACATTTCAAAAAGATAAGTGATACTATGTTTCGATAATATGAAAATAACACAACGTGATTCAAAGCACTTTCTAATATCATTACAGGGCAAACAGACCAAAGAAGGACAGAAAGCCAAGGGTTTCTGAGTCCTGAAATACCAGACATTAGGACTCAAGAAATACAACAGATTCAATATCCACACATCCGTACAAGATAATTTGCGTCACTAGGCTGATGTAATAGTTAAATTCTTCTAGCTTTCTTGGAGCTCTTCCATCAGAGGGTCCATTTCCTGACAGCAGACAATAATTTATTCTTGTATGGTTGAGACTCAAGGGAAAAGTAGGCATTATACTGTTATTTTAAATTATCAACAACGGAGTAATGAGACTATGATCAAGAAACTATCATCAACTACCGAGCAGCATTTGACCAAATGAAAACAATAAAGTGTAATCAATGACATGATCAAATTTTAGCTACCTGTTTCCCAGAAGTTTGGCAAAAAAAAATTTTGTTCCTTGCGGGCATCTCCAATTCTCAGTAAAACGGACCTTGCACTGTCGATTTCTGCACATGCAAAAGATCTTTCTTGACTAACCAATTTCTTTGCATCCTCCGAAGCCTGAATGAAAGAGGGTCAGATCTTTTAGAAAAGGAATACAGTGTATATCAACAAGTCCCGAGTGGAATAATGTAATTATGAGACAGAAAATGCAATTGACAAAAGAACTCCATCCGAGCAATTGATAACTTGATCCGAGCAGAGACCTGTCAACAAGAAAATCTTTCTGCCGGTTTTTAGATGCAAATTCTCCTTTCGATAACTATTTTAGAGCCATCATTTAATGCTTTTGAGCTGAATTTGATTGTGTCACCCTTAACCATCGATGGAGGGAGGTTGGAAACTCTTATTTTATCCATGAAAGTCCTTACCTCTCAGAAGCTGATTAATCACTATTATTAATCACTATTGTCAAATGTCAATGATAAATACTATGGTATACAGAAAAAATAATTGTGTTTTTTATAATAAATAAACTGGATGGGTTGGTTAATGTGGATATAGTGTTATTTGAAAAAAGAAAAGAAAAGAAAAAGATATTGTGTTGTGTATAAATTAAACTGGTCGGCCGGTCAATTTCATCATACTACATACCCTGGTCTTTCAGAAACCGGTACCGAACAAGCATCACAACTGGTACGAGGATATTAGGAAAGAGTACTTATTCATACTTAAATTTAGGCGATACAAAGAAGTAGAACAATTTAAAGCTTAAGTAGAAATGAGAACCAACCACTGCAAAGCTCACTGTTGACTAAAATAAGAGTATCTGTTACAGCAAAGAACATTTTTAACGATGCTTCACAAGTAAAGACTAAGTTCTACACTTTAGAGAAAGGAAGAGATGACCTACAGCTAACCAGAAAATGGGAAAAAGAAAGTGTTTTGACTTTTGACAGATCCCTTATATAGGAGGGGCTTCTTAAAGTTCTCTCAACCGAAAAAAAAAATGAAGGAAAAAAAAACTCCAAGTTCATCCAAGCAACCTCCAGATTTTGCCTATATTCAAAAGTTTTCTTCAGTAAAAGTACCCCAGAACTTGGCCACCAACATTCTGTCGAATTGCCTCTTCATGGTCCATCACACCATTTGGCGTACTTATTACTACATAGCCCCACTGCATGAACAAGTAGAAAGTCAAAACTAGATCGCGATCACCATAGCTAGCAATTTGGACTACAACCAAGATCAAGGGAAACCTTATCTCTTCTCTGTTCGTAGTTTATAGTAGATCATAATAATATGAGGGGAGGGAGATATCCAACAGTAAACTACATGGCTATGAACATATCTATATGCTAAGCAAATTCAATCTTCTATCTAGCAAACACAGCAGGCAGAGCAAAAAAACCAGTAGTCTAGTAAATCTTTATAGAATTTACACAAAAACAAACAGTTCATTCCACAAATACACACCCAAAAAAAGAAAATTACAAAAATATTATGTGGATTCCAGTCAAATATCATCACACATATTACCAATAACTTTCACAGAACTGCAAAATTTGAAGTCATGTACCGCCATTTATGCAATCAACGTTTAAAGGCACACCAAAAATATGATAAGCCAGTGTGTCACAATTTAATGGACTGTCATAACTAACATAAGATTTTAACCAAAAGTAGAAAATGAAGAACAACCTCAGCAGCTTAGGCATAATACATCATCCACGGCTAGTATAACTAACTTGTGAAGAAAAAAAAAAAAGATGTATAAAAGCGGCTTCATCCCCTCCAGATTTGAGATTCAAAACATTATACAAAACACAGATAGAAGGGGTTTCAAGCACGAAGTCTAATCACTCCACACTAGAACAAAAAAAAAAAAATGAAATCCCAAAAGCAATTATTTCCGCACACCTGATGCGTAGGAAGTTTACGTTTGGTATAATCCTCGACATTATGTACTTTGATGTCTTGCCTATATGTCAGAGCGCGGCAATCATTAATCCGACCCAGCAGTTGGACTGTTATTTTACCAACTCTATGAGGATCATGTACTTGGAAATCTTTGATATAGCCTGAAAACCAATGGAACCATCAGCAAAGCATAATTAGAAACCAAATTCAAACATTCACTCATTGCCACAGAAATTATTCTAAGCGCATATCCAAATTTCCTGCAAAGACCATCAATGCGATTCACTTTTTGAATTAGAACATAAAAGCAATCCTAATCATTCACTCTACTTGCTCATGAATCGCCAAAGTGACTTCGTCATTTATTTACCCAGTAAGCTGATGCATAATCTACTCTATAACCAATTTGAGCCCTACCACTCTCTCCATACTTCATTTTAAACATCAAACACACAGAGTAACAATAGACCTAGAAAATAGAAATGTTGAAATGGGTAGTTAAACACATTATCACCAACCAATCCTCATCTACTACAGAGCAAAAACTTGAAATTTTACAACTTTTTCGTCATCAAAAGAGCAAAACTCACATTCTTTTCTAAAATTTGGCGAGCTCCCAAAATTCAAACAATCATAATATTAAACACCTACAGAGAGCAGAGGAAAAAATCGAAATCTACATAAGTTTGTTTTTAACATGAAAATGAAAGGGCACTGTCATCTTGACCTCGATACTTCATGATTTGAAGGAAGGAGGCCATAACACCGGAGACGGGTTGAAGTTGAGCTGAGGCAAAACATCTTTTCTCGGCATTGACAATCGTCCTCAGCGCGTCATTCAATATTCTTCTGCCCATTGTGTTTTTTTTAGCCCTTCAAAAGCTCAATCGGAATAGCCTCTAATTGACCACTTCGCCGGAAAAAATGCCGCCGTCTCTTCTCGCTTCCGGCCTCACCTAAACAAGATGAAAGTCTTATAAATGCTAAAACAAGTTGATGGAGACGAAGAAATGGATTTTCAAATTTTAACCCGATTTTTGACCCATTTTGAAGCCCTAATTTTTTCTATTTTCCTTTTTTTTTTTCCCCTTCTTTGTAGACTACTTTTTAGACCAAAATAATTTCTTTTTTTTTTCCGGGTGAAATTAAAATATAGTTAAACATCTATAAATTAATCTTATCCTATATATTAAAAGAGGAGTGTTTCAGGATTTGTGACGTGATTTTAGTTAATCGAATAAAATTAAATTTAACATCTTTATATCTCATATATGATGGAGTATTATTTTTATTTTAATTTAACATACATTGACTTACTTTTCTAAAAGTTTATAGAGGTAAAATTTCTACGATAATAAGAGGTGAAATTTCTCGTGTAACATTTAAGATGTGCTTTATGGTTTTTCACTAAATTTATATGTTGATTTATTGTTTCGGTATAAATAGTCATGAGAATTTACGCTCATATTTCTGAGAAGTGGATGCCAATGTCCCTTGTGAGAAGTTGAAGAAAAATCAACTATCATCTCGTCTCGTTCTTAAAAATAAAAAATAAAAGATTAAAGTAAGAGTACTTTTTTTTATTAGTTTATAATAGTAACATTGTGAATTTGTTCAACATTTCATTTGACATAATTAAACACTTTCATTAAAGATTTAGATAATTTTATCTCAAGAGTCTTATTAAATTAGATTTCCTGTTTCTTGTATTTATATTTATTTTTAATTTTCAATCTTAGTTGAGAAAAAATGTCATACTTTTAATTGTAACAAAATTTATATAATAAAACATAATACAATTGAGTCAAAAATGTGCATTACGGTCTACTAGCATCATTACTCTGAGCATGACTGGTAACATGCATTTGTAACAAAAGTTGAGCACAACATAGGATGGAGTGACTTGCATCAGTACTTTGAGCTAAACCCTCCAACACTTGTAATAAGGCTATTCACCATTCTCATATGATGGAATATAGTTTAATCTTTAAAATATGCTAACTCCATCTTGAATGATAAATAAGCATCATTTTGATTTTTGATTTGTTTGGTGTGATATTTATTGTAGTGATAATTCTAATAACCGTTATTTAAAGCATTTGAGCTTTATTGAATAAAAAATACGTAATGAAAATGACAGAATAAAGAGATGATGATAGGAAAAAAGGTCACGCATACAACATTTTTTACTTCAAACATATTGATACGTGAAATTCATGTGCAATGTGAGTAAATTTTATTATGGGTACCAATGTTGTACCCGTGCATTGCACGGTGAAATTAGATCTTAGTCATAGAAAGATTTAAACAATGTAGATCATTTGCCCAAACTTATTTTTGAATGTTTTCTCGTGTTAGCAATTTATAAGAATTCAATGTGTAAAGTAGCGAGAAAATAACAAAGGATATATAATGAAAAGTTGATTATTGGGTATAAAACACAGTACATGATAAAAATAAAAGAAGTTCTGATATAATTTAAAACAGGAAAGAAAAAAATGCATGCACCAACCAATCGTCAGACCATTAAATGTTTTTCTAGGGCTTCCTTATAAACCACATTCATTGTCGTGGAGTAGAATTCACCATTCTTGTTAGATATAAGGATTTTGAGACCTTTTCAGGACTTTACTCTCAAAAAAAAAAACATACAACTGGCCATGCGTAAAGACTGGTCGGTGCAAAAACAATCTCGCTTGGCTCAATGATTGGCCCTGACTCTTATTGATTGTCATTGCAAAACAGGCAACGATGGGGAATTACCTCCTCTTCAGTTTAACCGGCATTCTTTAGTCGGTTAGACTGATATCCATTCGGAGAATAAAAGCTTTCTTACCAATGTTAGCTCCGGATATAATGGTCGGTTGGATAATGCGTTCAACGAGGTCATTTACTTGGAGCCTTGTACCATTGCAAATACCACCTGGCTAGTCGAGGTTACGAAGAAACATGATTGGCTCATTTACTTTTAGAGATACCTTGTGATTTGGCATACCCGAACATTTTATTACATTGAGAAACTCATCTGTGTAGACCTCATCATTCTCCAGATTGAGTGATCTTGCTGTTTCTTCTATGCAATCTGAATTGTAATAAACCTTGGCTTCACCACTGAGTAAGGACAACTTATGTTCATTAACTGAGTCGACTTCATTAGTAGTCGGTGCCAAAATAGCTCTTTCGTTAAAGAAACCTGGCACTTCCAAATCGGACAATGTCAGGATTGCATTACAAATTGAAGCAACAGGTGCCCCTGATAGTTCGATGAGGAGGTCCTGGGGAATTTCAATTTCAACTTCTCCATTGTTTGTGCCGCCGACTTTTCCTTCACCAATATCTAATAACCATTCAAAAAATTCCTTGATTTCATTAGACGACTCTGTACCACTGCCTTGACTGAGTCTCATATTCTGGGTTAGCTTCAGCACTTTGCATTGCCTCCACAGTTCAGATGCGTTTATTGCCGAGTCAACGATTTCGTATCTAGTACCCCTGGGTATAATCGACAATATCTGTCTGAAATCTCCTAAAATCGTAATAATTCCCCCAAAAGGTCTAGTAAAGGTTTGTAGATGTCGATGATGCACGATATCTTGCAGTGTCCTATCTAATGCCTCGAAACAATGCCTGTGAGTCATGGGTGCCTCATCCTAGATGATTAACTTGGTACGTTTAATAAGCATTGCCAAATCATCACCTGGTATAATAGTGCATGTTGATGTGTCAGTGATTGTCAAAGGAATTGTAAATCTAGAATGCGCGGTTCGACCACCAGAGAGAAGCAATGAAGCAATTACACTGGAAGCGACATTCAGGACAATGTCACCCTTACTGCGTAACGCAGCTGATAAAGTCATCTATATAAATGTCTTACCAATGCCTCCGAAACCTTATAGAAAAAAGAATCCCCCATTGCCTCTAGAAACAGCACCAACAATTTCATCATATACGTTCCTTTGCTCCGAAGTCAGTACTGATACCATTGCATCGTGCTCAACCGCTAATGCACTGACGTCATAATTTTTTTTCCATACTGATCATCTGGTTGGTCATATGATTATCAACATAGGCTGAAGGTTATGGCATGCCCCAAATTTTTTTCAAAGTGGTTCCCAACTTTCCCAACAGTTTCTTGATTCGGGCAGTGTGTAATCATGCAAATCAGAATCTGACAATTTAATGTGTGTAAAAAATGTAAAGGTTTTAAAGACAAAAGATGTGAGAAACTTTAGTAATAACATGAATAATGAGCACAGTCCACAAGCAACACAAGAATATTAAACAAGGATAAAATATAAACGAAATAATACAAAATATGTACTTGAGTTGCAGCCATAGATTAAGGAATATTTATACTGGATGTCACCTGACATCAAATGCCATGTTTGATCCCATACATGTTTATACTTTTTGACTGTCTTTGTCTAGATGAGCCTTGCATAAAGTTCCCTTATGTAAACAGGTGATAAACTCACAAGCATCTCTGAAAGTCTCGTGCACAACTCCATTTACTGTTTTAATGTCATCGTAACACGTTAGGTCTGTAATCTTACTTAGCAAAACCCGCAAATTTTATATTTCCCCTTGAAAAGGCGATGCGTGTTAAATTCTACCTATGGATATCCCCTATTTCCTTGATTGCCATTCCCTGATCTTTTGATTCCAAACAAATTTACTTGAAAATTCCTCGTAATTCAACCTTCTTGCATGTTCAAATATTTTATTGCACTCCATCCAACCAACGAACTTAAGTGCATTGTTTCCTGGTTTCTCTAGTGTGTCACCCACACTATCAGTTTCCTTAAATATAACAAAGTGTTCCTCAGGTAGATGAAATGGTAGCTTCTCGAAAGGCGTTGACCTGTAATGGATCGGGAAGCTATAAATTCTCCATATCACCTCGTACGCAGAAACATATCTGCAACTGTAATGAGCATCGATCTCATACAATTTTCTTGGCTTGGCTGCTGAATCATTACTCTCAAATTCTATTATTGCTCTGTCTAGCCCCTTATTTATGTACTTGAACAAATATTTGATTGCTGCTGTATGATTACACCACTCAACATTTATATGCGCTTGAAACATTAGAAGGAGTTTCCTGTTGTAAGGTACAACAAAAGAATAATCCAATGGAACACCGCCTTTTATTACTTCAATGCCGTTGTCACACCTCATGTACTTTGGGAATCCATGCTTGTCGATATGACTGAACAGTGAGAATTTCTTGGGGAAAGCTTTTGAACATTGGTCATTCTCTATATTGCATTGGTCATTGATCAGACACATATTCAAATGTTACTTAAATAAAACAAATATAATTGAAGCCTGATCCTGACTCAACAGTTAATCCTAAAAATTGAGTACTTCGCTTTGTAGAATTTGTTAAGGATGTAGCTGCAATGGAAAAGTTAGTTGCCGTCCGTTCAGTATATATGTCGATACACAACGTGATAAAATATCATGGACTTAGCGTGTTAAAAAAAAGAAAATAACATATATTTAACGAATAGGTGTAAAAAAATAATAACATAATACAAAGACTTACTGTGCAAGATCTCGGTCAAAGGTTGTCTTGGAACATTTGATATTGAGGCTTCGACTGAATTCAGATTTGAACCTTGACCATCGGTCTTGTCCAAAATAGTTTGTGACGTGTTTTTAGAATGAGTATGAACTGAATTGGGTTGAAAGACTCTTAATTTTGGATTGACACTACGTTTTTGAGACTGCGGATGTATATTCTCATTATTTTCTTCATGATCTGATCCGTTCAAAACAGTGTCTTTTCTCTTTTTTTTTATTCAACGGATTGCACCTTTTTCATTGCATAAATACGGGAAATGTATCAATTGGATATACCCAAAATTTTTGAGCTAGTTCGTTTGGCATACTGTGAAATAAAAAAAAAAGAGAGAAAGAAGAAGATGTCACTTAACCTACCGTGAAAAGGCCGCCGCCGTCATCCCTAAGCCCTAGAGAAGGCCACCGCCACTGACGCTAACGCCGACACTGTGTATTGCAGCCATCACTGGATCTCCCTAGCCGCACTGCTGACTCTAATCGCTGCTTCCCTCTCTCCCGCTAGTCGTTGCTTGAAAGCTACTGCCTCTGCCACTCATCACCGAAACCTTCTCCCTCCGCTCACCCTGATAATCAACCTCAACCCTCCAAGAACCCTTAGCCCTTAACCCACTTCCCTGCCCTCCAACAGACCCTATAAACTCTAACCCCCCCCCCCCTCCCTCATCAGATCTGCACTTCAAACCCTTACCACTCCTGAACGAAGCCTTCCCCACCTCACCTCACCATCACTGAACCATCAGACCTAGCCTCGGCCAACCCTTTAAACCCAGCCCACCACTCCACCCCACTAATCTCTCAAAATAAAACCTTAGCCTTGGCAACTATGGCTAGCAGCCAACCGACGGGGGTCCCCAATGGGCCCCCACGATCCTTCGCAAGTCTTTTCCAAAACCAACTAGAACCAAATCCCTCAAAAGGCAATTTGTTCAAACAGGTAAAATTTGTTAACGGTACTCCCGTGTTAGAGTTTGAAGATGAGGAATTTGAACTACTAATTGCACCTCACCGGCTGAATTTGGTTGGAAAATTCTCATACGGAAGACCCAAAATGGATGAGGTGCATAAAGAATTTCAGAAAATTGGCTTCATGGCAACTATACAATTGGACTGATGAATCCACGGCACATCTTGATTCGTTTCAAATGGAAGAGGACCATCAACAATGTTGGATCCGCACTTTTTAGAATATTGCAGGCTTTTAATGAGAATATTAAAATGGAAGCCAGGTTTTCGTTTTGAGGAAGAACGACTTGTGGTGCCGATATGGATCTCGCTATTTGATCTGCTAATAGAATACATGCATCCAGAAGTTATTTTCTCCATAGCAACGGCAATAGGCCAACCTTTGAAAGTCGACACACCTACTCTGAATATGACTAGACCGTCAGTTGCACGATTTTGCGTAGAAATTGATCTCACAAAAGATCTCCTGAAATCGGTCGAGATTGGTAAGAAATGAAGGAAACATGAACAGTTCTTTACTTATGAGCATGTGCCCTCGTATTGCTTTAAATGTTGCAAGACTGGGCATAAGATGTTTTACATGTTCTTTACATATGAGCATGTGCCGTCGTATTGCCTTAAATGTTGCAAGATGATGATTGTCGAATGGGGAAGCCTAAGATGCAAAGAAAAGATGCTGGACAGGTTGTAGATCCGTCTATGAATAAGAAAGGATATAAAATGCAGCCACCAAAGGTGAAGTGGAATAATGAAGAAGGGGAAGAAAAAGCCACTTTAGATGTGCAAATTATGCAGGAGCAACCTCTAATAGTTAAGGATCATAGAGGGCGAGTTGTGGATTCGATGTCAGGTTTGACCACAAAGGAGAAAAATGATATTCCGGTTGATATTCAGAATATCTCAAACTCGGGTTCCGAAGATATGGCGACCACGCCTGGAAAAGATGCGAATAAAAAATCTGTCCATTGCCAAAGCTCGAACAAATTTTCGGTGCCACAAAAAATTGATAACGATGAAGCTATTCAGTTGAATGAAAGTGATGATGATGTAAAGGATGGCCTCGGAATCATAGAAAAACAGCAGCCCTTGGTTAATATAGAAATTGAAGCTGATTTGAGAAAGAAAGTTGCAATTGGTGAGGTTCAAAGAGAGGAAAATAATAGTGTTAAGACTGATGGGGAGCTACATATGGAAGATGAGCTGAATCAAAGTAACCAATGTAAACAACTAGTTGTTTTTGAAGTTGTGATTGAGGAAAGTGTTAGAGAGTATATACGTAAAGAAGGTGATCCAAATGAAGGCTTATTAACAGTTACAGAGGCAGCACTCCGAAACAAGTAGACGAGAAAAAGTAATGTATGATAGATACCATGACAAATTTCAAAAAAAATCATTGCGCAAGTTACGAAGGGTGAGGAACCTGATTTTATCTCTGCTCGTAAGCAACGGAAGAGGCCTAGTGCCAATGGGAATCCGAGAGTACGCTGCTCGGAGAAAAATTATTGTTAGATATAGACCTTTTAGTCTATAGTCTTTTCTGGATTTTTTTAGTTGCATTGTAAAATGTGGTAAGTCTTATGCACTGTCACTTTCTTTTTCTTTCATTCCAGATAAATAAAACGGGTCCTGCGCCCGCCAGGCTTTGCCTGTTTTGATTAAAAATAAATAAAAATGTATCAATTGGATATAACACTAAAGAGAAAAGAAAGCAAAAAAAAAAAAAGGAGAATTACAAATTGATGGGAATAACTTATGCTAATATATGTATATATATATATATATATATTATATTTATATATATGATGAGATATGCACTTAAGTATATTTGATGAGATAAGTCCCAACAAAGTTTGAATCCAATTTAAATTTCCATTTAAAACATTTTAATGAAGAGATTATAAAAATCAAATCAGGATATTTAACTAAACCATCTAGAAGATATACATTTAAATAGGAGATAACTACCTTAAGTTTTTAAAAAATATCGAAAACCTATCTTTTTTTAAAAAATAATGTAATGGAGTCCATTAATATTGAAGGGGGCATAAATTATATCAAAATATTTGTAATAGTTTAAGAAATGATACTTATATATACTAATAAATGCCGGAAAATGCAGAATAAGAATATAAGTTGAGTGGAAACAAAATGATAAATAGGGAATATGTCCATCGGAAACTATCATGATTATTATTATATATATATTATTAACGGATAATCCAGAAACTATAGGAACGATAATTTCCTTAAATTATAACATTTATCTGTACTTAATACATTTTTTATTTGGAACGAAATTTTGTATATTGAAGGTGTATATTGCTTCTAGAAACAATGGACGGTAGTTATTCGTAAAAACTAGAGTAACTAAATTGCTAATAATAATACAATCAAAAGTCATTATTTAATTGGAACAAAAGCAAAAAATGTATTATTATGCTTAAATAAAATAAAAAACGCAAACTACATTGAAATTAAACATAAGGAAAAGATAGTTCGTTTTATTAAATGAGATCGACCACATGGTCATCTATATGAAATAAGAAAGAGAAAAAAATTAAAAATTAAATATTGTAAATGGAAGTAAAGTAAACAATGAAAACCCTAGACTTTGCAAAAGCTGGGTACAAAAAAACTACCAGAAATAATGTTGGATTTGTCACCACCATGGGGCTTCTCCAACACTTTAATTTTGTTATTCTCATGATCATATAGCACCATGCTCTTGACATTGATTTTGTCAAAGATGAATTCACCATTGTAGTGGGATTTCCGACAAAGAAAAAAACTCCTGATCCAATCGATTAAAAATCCATAAGGTTGTTATATTTGACAAAGAATGCCAACAGGGAATTCCATTCGAGCATTGAAAACTCTATCCCATTTCCAATCTCATTTTCCATTAGAATCGAGAGGCATAATTGTGCAAGACCACATTTTGAATGTCTGGTCCAACATTATTGTTGTTGGATTTGCCACGCAAATCTTGCCATTGAAGTCCAAAACCTCTAATTTGGTATTCATAGTGAACATACACTTTTTCCAATCAACACCATGAGGTGTTTCAAAAACAAAATATGTTTCTTGTGCAATATCAAAACAAACCAACAGGTCTTTTGATGTTCGAAAAAAGTAAAACGATAAGGACCAACACCGACATTCCAAACAACAAAATCTTTGAAGACCAAATCTTCATAAACATTTCTTAGACATTTTTGAATTATGCGTCTCCAAGGGCAAGTGATTGGTTTCAATTCCTCGTTAAATCTCCAAGAAATGATCATCCTTATCATCTCGTGTTTTCCATCCTGTTTCAAGCACATAGCTATGTAAGATTTTGCTTGGTACCGCGAACCAAAAGCGGTAACCCAATGGTTCGAAACAACCGGATAACCGGGCGACCAAGGTCCACACAAACAAATTGTCTGCCATGTAGAAGGATTAAATAACTGTAGAGTAGATAGAGTTCTCATACATACCAGATCACAAGTAATCGGCAAAATTTCATGGACACCATGTTCATGCATATATACCGGGCAATGCTGTTTGAATAGATGAAAATTCCTTTACAGTCTGCCACTTCAAAAAAAGCAAATTGGGTGTTCACCGGTGGCGTTGGCTTCGTCTTTCACAGCAAATATCATCTCATAATCCTATTCTCGAAGCCCAAGAAGAAGATGACGATGAAGCAACATCTTCCTCCATCAATCTTGGACGGACTTGCAACTTGCAATACTCCAAGCATCCAGTCCACTGAAAATCTCCTTAAGTAAATCAGCTGGAATCTCATTGATCGAAGGAGGAATAGTTTAATTGGGTAGTTCAGTGATTTAGATTTATGTCGTCCATAAACCAACAAAGGGTTACCATCGATTTTTCGTACTACTTGTACAGGAACTATTGGAGTTTTTATGAATTATAAAAAAAGGTGAACAAATGTTTTTTGAAGATCAGATCAATTACTGGTTTCGATAGGGATGCAACCATGTAGGAGTAGGATTGTATAATGAAATTGTGTTTATTTGACTAAATAGCTTGACATGGTAGTAATCACATCATTTAATAATAATAATTAATATACCGTTATTGACGTATGAGATCAGATCAATTAATTTTACCATTCAATTATAGTAAAAATGAAATCGGGGAGTGAAGATGACGTCTTACGTGGGTCGATAAGTTTTATTATTTATCAGTTGTGAACAAGATACACACAATTGACTCTATATACGGTAATCTTCATAACTTGATTAATATTCAATTTTGGAAGATACGTTCAATTTTTTTTTTTTAGCTAAACCCTCCAACACTTGAGCTAAACCCTACTAAAAAAACAGCTCTCATTTTATTACCACCCTTTTGTTATTCCTTTAAATTATCTGTTTCTTCTTTAATTTTAATTTACCATTTCAATTTTCTTTCAGGGATCTTGTGCTCAGTGTGTCTCTTTCTTGCACCAATAAAAGATTTCAAGCGCATTAGGGCACATGGAAACACCCTAAGCTACAGCCATGTGCCCTATGTGGTAACTCTGCTTACAGCGGCTCTCTGGACATTCTATGGAATAATAGAATGGAACCACATCATCCTTTGGATCAACCTGGCAGGATGCATCTTTGAGTTATTTTACCTGGGTAACTTTTGCTTTTATGCCCGAGGAAGGAAAAGAAGGACTATTGTCATCCTCTTTTTTCTGTGTGCCCTTGCATTTGTTGGTGTTCTTTTGGGCACCCTATTGGGTTGCAAAGAAACAGGCCACATCAAAGTGGTAGGATTGATTTGCATGAGTGTCGGTCTTTCTGTCTTCATAGTCCCAGGCATCAATTTGCAGAAAGTGCTGAAAACTAAGGGCGCGACTTCTATTCCGATTTTAATATCATCCTCACTTCTCGTTGGCGGCGCTGCTTGGATGGTCTATGGTGTAATGATTATAGACATCCACCTTTGGGCACCAAATGTCATAGGTATTCCTATGGCGTTGGCACGAATAATAGTCGCCGTGCGTATCGGGAAGCAGCTAGCAGCATGAAACTTGCAGCCAACAGCAAGAAACCAAGTGTCGCAGCCAGCAACAGGAAACGAAGTATCGCAGCCAGCAAACGAAGTATTCCTCAATATCTAATTCTTTACTGGTTTGAGGATTCTGTATTAATTACAATTCTAGAATGGTTTAAGACTTGTGCTTGGCCTCACTCTTTTGATATGCATGCTTAGAATTTATTACAATTCGAATGATCAAAATGATGTATTTTAGTTTGGTATCCTCAAACAGTATCGTTTAGTTTTAAGTGCCAGAAGTGGTAAGAAGGTATGGAACTTACTTGATGAATCAGTAGGGCTATGAAGTTTCTTATGTATCATTGTGGTATCTGAAAATGAATATGCTCAAGTTAAATTTTTTGACCAAAAAAAAAAATAAAATTGAGCTAAACCCTATACACATAATATTCCATTAACCCTTCAACACTTGATTAATATTCAATTAACATGATTGACTCTATACACATAATAATTTAATCTTCTCCAGTACTTTGAGCTAAACCCTCCAGTACTTGTAATAAGGCTATTCATCATTCTCATATGATGAAATATAGTTTAACCTTTAAAATGTACTAACTCCATCTTAAATGATAGATAAGCATCATTTTGAATTGATTGGTGCGAAGTTTATTGTAGTGATAATTCTAATAACCATTATTTAAAACATTTGAGCTTCATTGAATAAGAAATACGTAATGAAAATGGCAGAATAAAAGAGAGATGGTGATAGAAAAAAAGGTCACGCATACAACATTTGTGACTTAAATCATATTGATACGTGAAATTCATGTGCAATGTGAGAAAATTTTATCAAGGGTATTTGCGTAATTCACGTGCGATGTAGTCCATATTTTATTGCAATAATTGATTTATGCAAATAACTGCTATAATTTATTATATTATTTTACGTGTTTCATTTCTTCCTGACAATTAAAGGTTGCTTGTTTCAAGTTTTTTATTTGCATTTATTGAGAATCTTACATCGGTACTTGATAAGAATTAATATCCATGTTAAGTTCCATAGCCTACTCCTCTTATCATCAATTGATTTGATGAAAGATTTAAACGTGTCAAGCTCTTCAACTTGTGAAATGTCATTGGAATTGAACCTTTTAGGCCATTGTTATGCACTTTACATTTATTGACCGTTGTGCAGGAGTTTATGTTTTCAGGAATTGGACCTTCAAGAAAGTTATTTTCTAAATTGAGTTAAAAAAACAAACTTCCATGTTTTCAAGAAGTTTGCTTTCATGGTTCAAGGAGAAGGAGATACTTGAAGGCATTGATTCTAATATTGAGCA